CAATTCTTGCACCAGCTGTATCTTATAAGGTTTTACACCCAAATCCTGTCGCAAAATTTTCCACGTGGTGGAGTAACAGAGGCGCAATTGCTGCGAACAGCGGCGAATCGACATTTCACGGTCATCACTAACACTGGCGGATACAGCCGCAATATTTTCTTCAGTCCTCACTCTACGTCTGCGTGTTGGTGGTTTTATGTCCAATAATGTAAACTGGGTTCGAAATTTAGTCACAAGCTTCCGAATAGCTCCCTCAGTAGGCCGACCAAATTGCCAATAATTTGGAAGCCAGTGCTCGATGCACTCTCTTAACCGAGCATGAATTTTGATAGTAAAATTCAATAATTTGCAAGCGTTGTTCGTTCGTAAGTCTATTCATGGTTAAATTATAGACCAAACTGAATAAGTTTGACATTGACACAAGACACGATTCACGCGTCATCTGTCAAAAACAGTGTTGCCAAAAAGATACTAGCAAAAAAAATCACCCATTACAAACCACTGTTGTTTGCACACTCTGTGTGTCTGGGCGATTTATTTATAAGATACATATTTGCATTTATCTGATTTATGATAAAGGTATCGATGCATGTAATGTATGTATGTTTTTTGTTAATATACTAAATGACATAGAAAATGCAACACCGACTAGGAGTGATGTAATTTTGAGCATACTTTTACAAGCTTTTAGGTCTACTGATAAATAGAAAATGATCAAAATTTTAAATTTGAATTTCACAAAATAGTTGAGATATCTTAATGATGATAATGTGTTGAAGCTCCTCTGTTGGCTACACAGTCGTTAAGTCGTCACGGCATTGATTGGAATAGGTGATTGATGTCTTCTTGGTGGATTGTATACCAGGCCATTTGAATTTGGTTCCGTAGAGCCTCCGATGTTTGTGGAGAGTACGGTGAATTTTGCAACCTTCTTCCCATCATGTCCCATACATGTTCGGTGAGGGAAAGGTCTGGAGATCGAGGAGGCCACTGAGTCAGATTTATTCCGGACGCCTCTAAAAAGTCTAAGCTAACAAGTGCGACATGAGGTCGTGCATTGTTCTGCTGAAAAAGTGGATCTTGCAATGTTTTCAAAAAAGGAAGCAGATGTGGTTGAAAACTTCATGGTTGTAGCGCTCGACAGTCTTGCTACCACGAATCGTGACCTGCTGCCGTTAGCAGTGGCATAACATAACACCCATAGTGAAATGAATATGCCGTTTGATGGAATATTGGACGTTGTCTTTCACCGCGTCTCCTCACTCTTGCACGGTAAACATGTGTGCCCAACAGAATCTGGACTCATCGCTGAACGCGACTGAGTTCTATTCCATATTCCATTCAAGTCTCTTCCTACTCCATACCAATCATTGCCGATGATGCTGTGGGGTCAGAGGTAGCACAAGATGGGGACGGTAGGAATACAGTACACAAGACCTTATTCGGCGATAAACTGCCCTCATTGTCATTGCCCTTCCGAAAGCATCAAACCACTGGTTCGCAACTGCAATCTCTAAGTGCTAGTTGCCCCAAATAACTTTGACGTCCAGTACCTATAACTTGTCGATTTCGGCCTTCTAGCGATTTCTCTAAAAGAAAATCCGGCTTCACGTAACCCGATTATTCGACCCCTCTCAAACAAGGAAAGTTGAGCGAAATTAGCGCATCTGCAAGTGCTAGTTGGCTTAAATCAACGATCATGTCGCTCTGTAGTCTGTCTTTGATGTCCAGTACCTCTGACTCGTCGATTTCGGCCTTCTTGAAACCACGCTCGACAACATCTCATTCGATTCACTCGACTAGAGATTTCTCTAAAATAAAATCTGGCTTCACGTATCCCAATTATCCGAAGGTTGAGTGGAATTAGCGCGTCTGCGAATTCTAGGCATGATAATGCAATGAAACAAAAGGAACCAATTCAGAAAAATCACTAAATATTAAGTAAACTTATTCATATTGTTCGGATCCTGATATGACAAAAAAAAACCTTTACAAAAAAAGTACGGCTCGGAATCGCTTCAACATTTTATCAGCGTATACTTCCATGGTAGTAAAATATGTTTACAAGTTTTTATCAAAATTCAATAAATAATTCTGGGTGGGGGGTTTTTTTGCATTTTATGTCAATTAGTATAACATTTTAAAGCACTCATACAGAGTCTACGGAGAAAAACACTAACTTTTCGTGCTTCGTTTTAGGGTGATTTCCTAACTGCAATGCTGATGCAATAAACATATACATTACAACCATATAAACTTTTGGGTGCCCCCTGCGCCATGCGCAGGCCTCGTCTCCCATCCGTCAAGGTAGGGTTCGTGTTCGCCTGGGACTTCGTAAGTTGTGGCACCGCCCAGTAGAGGCCGATGACAGGGGGTACTACGGACGGCAGCCTACAAGGTGTACCCGGGAGGAATTTCACTGCTTCCATCTGACCTGTCGGTCGGGATCTTGGATGGCCGACTGCCACCATGGACATTCACTCCATTGTTCCGAATACAAATGAGGAGAAACCTTACACCCGTCCCCATTCAGAAGGGGACCTACGGCAAGGATGACCTGCTGTGTGCTATGAGGGCAGTGGTCCGCATCGTAGGGACTACAGTCTCGCTTGTAGGATAGGTGGTGCGAAATGCATCCTAAGCATAGCGCGCTTACCTCTACGACCTGCGGAATTATGCAGCGTACCTTTGGATTCAGGGATATGTTCGTGCTCCAGCTCAGACTGCTTCTCCGGGGCTGGAAGGCCTATCACACAGTCTGAAAGGTCACCATCAAGGCTCACTGAGAGAGAAAGCGACAACGTAGTTCCACTTAGAGATTCTAATGACCGAAAGACTTACATAACATTAGGGGGCCCTAAAGCTGTCTACCAGCTAAAGCGAGAGGGTGAGCTTCTTCATGAGCATCTCTCGGAGGACTCTGATGTTTGACGAAGTCATTGCGAAGATATGCTGAGGCTCTGAGGTTATCTGGACAGGGGAGGGTGAGAGTCTCTCCCGGGCAGCCACTCCGCAGTTTGAGTCCTCTTGACAAAGGACTCCCCGTGCTGATATAGTGCGTCAACCAATAACTACGGAATAAATTCGTAGTGCCTTTATAGGTGCTAAGAATTCGCAGCTGCTGGCAATATAGCTTAAACACCTACTGGTGGAAGGAATTTCCCAGGTACCACCGGTATTTCCTAAATCAGGAGCAGCCAGTTCCGCCTTGGTTTGTCGAGGTCCGAACCATGCTACTCCCAAAGACCAAAGATTTGTCGGATACAATGAACTAACATATAATAATAACATATCTTAACGGATTGTACAAGCTTTTCACTAAAATTTTGTACATCCGTATGCTCAAAGCTGTAAACACGATATTTCTCAATGTATATGAGCAGCGGGGATCAAAGTAGATGGCTTAAAGAAGAACCTGTTGATTGACCGCTGTGTCACAGAGGACTCCGTGCAGTACAAGCGAAACGTTTCGATGGCATTGATTAACTATCGTAAGTCATTGACGCAACGACTCATGAACTCATTGTGCGTCTGTTGGGACACCTTGTGGTAGATAATCAAATAGTGAGATGCATTAAACAACTGATGCCGCTGAAGGACTAGGTTCACAATCACGCCTGGTCAAACCAAAGTTCGAGCAGTGTTGGTATACTTCAGAAGAGGGGTTTCCAAGAGGAGTCTTCAAGTCCCTGCCTTCTGCATCTTACTGCTCCAGTTATCTGTTGTGCTGAGCAATGTGAGATGATACAGCTGCGGCACGCCCAGCAGCCGGAGACACCCACCTCTTTTATATAAATGACCTCAAGCTTTACGCCCCTGGACAGCACGACTTGCAGCAGTCGCTCTGGGTAATGCAGGGGTATAGTCGTTTAGTAGTTAGCAGGGTACTGAGCACTGCCGGTGATGTTGCTTTGTGCATGAGCACGAGAATGTGAGTAAAGGAACTTTTCTTTTTAGAGCAGCGAAAGGAGCAGCTGACAAGCAGTCCATCACAGAGCTGGCTTCTGCTTAACTGGAGAGCAACATAAAGACTTCTGAAGCAAATTACTTATTAAGGCTTTATAGAAACAAGTCTATGCTTGGAATCTTCTACATACACATAGAGGAGCATATCTTTTCTAAGCAGTTCTAAGGTCTATTGGGTTAAAGTCTGAGACTAATTATGACTTGCCAATTTGGTGTATTTAATACCTTGGTATACCGAGGGAGGGTTATGAGTGCGGATGTACCCGATGCCAACTGCAGGGCATGTCGTCAGACGCCAGAGACGCTTATGCATCTCTTGTCAGCGTGTACGCTGGCATTGCTTACGTCAATCGTCACAACGCAGCTTTGCGAGTGTTATACTACAATTTGAGGCACTCCTACGATACAGATGGAACACCCGTGCTGCCCTATGGACCAGGGGATATTGAGTCCGTTGTGGAGAACGAGAAATGCCGGATTTACTGGAATAACTCGTTCCCCACGGTCGAGCTGGTGCAGGCGAATAAGCCTGACATAGTCCTTGTCTACCGAAATGCCAAGCATCGACAAGCATCTTAGCCAGGAGAATTCAGAAAGCGGTCATCCTCGGTTCCCTCCGTCTACTTGTCACACTAGTGTGTGTCCTAGTTGTTAATGGTACAGCAGCTTGGTGTGTCGGAGCCCAGGTTGTCTGTTTTACTTTTCTTTTCCTTTAATAATAATAATAATAATAATAATAATAATAATAATAATAATAATAATAATAATAATAATAATAATAATAATAATAATAATAATAATAATAATAAAAGATGTTAAAATACCAGGAGCTGAAAATCGAAATACAAAGAATGTGGGGTTTGAAAGCACAAATGATATGATCATTATAGGCGCTACTGGAACCCTGCAAAAGAATTTCCAGCACCAGGTCATCAAGATTCCCGGCAACGAAAAACAACATACCATAAACATTCTACAAAAAGTAGCGATAATGGGAACGGCCCACATAATTAGACGTCTATCATAAATATACCACAACGCATTCTTCCTCAAGGTCTAGGCAAGACCTCGGAGGATAGCATAATTCCTCCAGGCATTCGACGAACATCCACTATGCTAATGGAGTGTAGGTCGCAAAATAATAATAATAATATGATGGTATTTTTTAACTCAGCCATACATCCTAATACTTAGTTAATGTGAAATTAAGGTCTTTAAACGGCTCAAAAACGAATAATAATGTGATCAGCGATCTATTACTATAGACATATGTTTTTAGTAAAGGAAGATGGAGAATTGTTGATATCATTAATTCCATTACTACAAAAGCGCCTTGAACCGCTAGAATTTTCGCACTGGACGCAAATTTTGATGCCCGTGGGTCGATAGTAGAATCAGCCCTAAGACTCGTATTTTATATTGGTTTAGGTATATGCCTCAAGAGCTAGCTCTGTATGACGACTTCTCTATAAAGGAAACCATGTTGTATTTTGGCTGGATTTTTGGCCTGAAGACGAAGGAGATCAAAGAAACAACAGATTTTTTAGTGCAGTTACTAGATTTACCTACTGCCAAAAGACTCGTGAGAAATCTGAGGTATTTAAAACCATGCTACATCACAATTTCTAAAATTTCTCGGAAAGTAGGTGTAAGATGTTACGTTTTTTTGTAGGTTATATACATGTGCATCACGAAAAAACATGTCACTCATTTCCGTCGATCTGTCTGTTGGTCTCTGTCGATCTATCTGTCTTCCGAACCTTGTCCCGTCTATAACTTAAAAAGTAACCTTCGGATTTCGATGGAATATTCATACAAGGTTACTAATATGCCAAGGCCGAAGCCGTTTTTGAAAACCGGTCTAGTGATGGTAGTGAAAAAGGCCAAAAACAAAATGATAAAAATAGCTCAATCTTCGTTTTTTGATGCTTCAGAGGACCCTGAATATTTTTAGGAGAGATTTTGCAAGTATTAGACATATTTAACCTCTACTGAGCGGGACCGTAGCAAATGCTTGTTCCGGAAGTTGTTGTATTCAGTATACAACTTCTTCCCGTTCAAGTCCGCCGACGGGCCACTTTAGGTCTATCTAACATCATTAACACGCAAAAAAAGCCGGTAGACAAGGACTAGTCGACAGAGGCGGTACCACCCGCTAGCGTTTTCCAGGGTATTTTATAAATGTCCGCATGTTTCCGTACCTAAGCTACGCAGTCGATTATTTTCCCCAACACAGAAATTAATGATGATGTATTAACTATTAAGAATTTCGGACGTAAACTCACTGCAATCTCCTCAACATCGATGATAAAATTTGTTTCACGAACATCCGCGAAAGTAAATGCGACAACGATGTTGCTCATCACCATCTGCAATCCAATCGTCCACTCATGCTTTTTTTGCCGGAGACAAAAATCTCAGAGTATGTACTGATTAATCATCTTGAAGAAAGATCGGGAGAGTTGTGGCTTTTGTCCGCAGCAGTCTTTCCTGCTCCATTGGGTTGACCTTCTTGAATATCTCGATGTTAAGATCGACTTCCTGTACAACCATCGCCCCGCTTTAGAGGTATTTATTCTCGGTGATTCCAATGACCATAATGAGCTTTGATTGGGCTCGAATAAGACTGATGCAGCAGGTGGTGCAGCTGAAGCGTTCGCTATTACCCAAATGCTGACCCAGCCGGTGACAAACCCTACCTTTTTCTCTCGCGTTTCATCACATGCCAGTACCCTGCTGGACTACTTTCTGAACACGCATTTTGTCCATTACAGCACTGCTGTCATGTCTCCCTTGGGTAACTCATATCACGCTGTTCTGGAGGTTAGGTTTCGAACATGCCGACTCGGAGGGGTTCAGAGACTTCTCCTCCACCTTTCCTTGCAGAGATATTTGTTTCGCTGACGCGGGCGCATCAGCTGTTCATCGATAACCGAAATTATCCACGTTGGGATGGAGGAATACGTCCCTCATAGAGTGAAAGTGCATAAAAAACCAGAGTCCAATGGCTGGTTCAACAAATCGTGCGACACTGCTCACCAGCAGAATATCAAGGCACACAGAACCTTCTTACAAAACCCCACTGTAGAGAACAAACAAGCAGATTAGTTCATAAACAAATATAACGAAGATGCCAAAGACCATCACGATATAAATGTTAGGCACAGGGTAATGTCGCAAGCGCAATGGGAAGTCTGTCTTTGTGGACGCTGGCCAAGCAGATTGGAAGAAACGTCTAGTCTTCCACCACTTACGTATCAGTTGATTGTAACCAACTCTAGGGCTAAGGCGCAAGTGCTTCTGGTCCGGACTTGATTTCTGCCATCGCATTGAAGAGATGTGCAGCGGAGCTTGCTCCAGTTCTTTCGCGTCTCTTCCAGATATCGTACGAATCCGGCACCTTCCCAGCAAACTGGAAATTAGATCATGTCCAATCCATCCCAGAAAAAGATCTAAGACCGACTCTTACAACTATAGGCTTACAGCTCTGCTTTCTGTTATTAGTAAGGTGATGGAGAGGTGCATAAATCGCGAGCTTTTGGACTACCTCTAACGTCACGGCTTGATTAGCGACATGCAGTATGATTTCCGGAACCAGCGATCCACACCGTATCTCCTAGCTTCCGTCACGCAATTGTGGAGTAAACTCATCCAGTCTTATGGTCGTTACTCTTGATATCAAAAAATCGTTCGATTAGCTGCGGCACGCATGTTTCCACACCTAAGCTATGCAGTCGGTTATCTACCAAAACAAAGAAATTAATGATGATGGACCCCTCGAGCACTAAAAATTCCGGACGTAAACTCACTCCACTCTCGGAATGTCCGGGTGGAGGGTGGGCTCGATGGAACAACATCGAAGATAAAATTTGTTTTTCGAACATCTGCGGGATCAACAGCAACATTGATGCTGTTCATCACTACCTGCAATCCAATCGTCCGCCGTGCTTTTCTTGGCGGAGGCAAAAATCTCAGAGACTGCACCGATTAACCATCTCAACTTCCCAAACTACGAGGTGCACTCCAATCTGAAAAAGAACGGGGGAGTTGTGGCTTTTGTCCGCAGCAGTCTTTCCTGCTCCAGGGATCTTTCTTTGGAATCAGACCGGAAGGACATCCTGTGGCTTCGCCTCAACTCCAAAACATCACCCAAATTTAATTGCTGCCTTTATCGCTCTCCATCGAACCATAACTGGGATGACCTACTCGAATACCTCGCCGTCCAGATCGACTTCCTGAACATCAATCACCCCGCTTCAGACGTAGTTCTTCTCGGTGATTTCAATGCCCATAATGAGCTTTAGT